TTTTTTTTTTTTACTCAGGCTCCTTACATTAGTTAACTTCTTCAGTGTACATACTGCCTGGCTCAATTATGTATCTTTCCATCTTGCGGCAATATATATTACAACGCCCAGAAAGACAGACGTAAGTGTGAGAAGAGCAATGCTGGCAGAGTTTAATTCTTTGTGCCTACAGTGTCCCCTCCACTACCAAAATCTTGCCATGTAAACCCAACAGTCGCCTTTCTTAAGATCAATATAGCCTGCCTGTATATAAACAACAAATCAGTTTTTTACTGCTCTTGTCAAAAATTGTTGTCTATTCAAGTTCTGGGTGACCTTGCTCTGGAATCTCAAAACGAGCAGTAAGGGATATATACAAAGTTATCCTCTAACGGAGGGAAAGGGGAAGGAAGGGTACAAGTTTCGTGGCTGCATATAGATATTGGATATAAAGCAAGAACATTTTCACATATGCTAGTTCCTTCTTTATGATTAAAAAAGAAGGAAAAAAAAAAACCACAACACCTTTTCCATTTTATCTTTTAAAAAAAATAGTCAACAACACGTGAACTGCAACAATAACTATATCCTTTAATCCCACTCCAGTGAAAATTCTGGCTCAAACAACTACAAATAAACTTTTATAACAATTAATTTGCATGAAACAGAACAGGCTGAGAAGCAGGATTTCCTTTCTAGGGAAAGAAATCTGGTTTCAATCCAAATTGTATTGAAAGACATTCCCAAAATTTCTTACTAACCAGAAATTTTGAATTACACACAGACACTAAAACAGTGCAGCTGGAATGTCTTCAGTAGTTGCAAGTGAAAATTATGTTCTCTGTTGTAACAAAGACACTGACAAGGATGTGAACTTCACTGACCAGCTGTGGGAACTGCAGGCCTTGGTGGTTCCCGACAGCCCACACTCAGAATGCCCCTGGGCCAGCAGGACCTGAGCCACAGCCCCTCAGCAGGGAACCAGCTGAGAGCAGCGCTTCCAGCCCTGCTGCTCTGCTGCAGAGCAGGCTCTACATCCCTTCTTAAAGACTCCCATTCCCAGATTCACGTGACTTGCAGTTCTGGTTTGGAGGTCTGGCACATTTGGAAGTCTGCGTGTGGAACTCAAGAGTCCACCCACTCTTCATCCCATGGGTATTAGCGTTCTACTGCTTTCAGACTGAACTAATGTTACAGATCTGTGAGGTAATCTCTAAATGGTTTATGTCTTTCTTACCAGAAAAACTTCTTTCTCCCCTCTATTGGGGTACTGGTGATCAGAACAAGCTAGAATTGTTCTTATTGTACAGAGAAAGGAAAGAGTTTAAAGTACCTTCAAACCTTTCACTCATCTTTATTATATTGAATTTTAAATTTTAGAAAGCCAATAATCTGAAGCCTGCTTTTTTTTTTTTTTTTTTTTTTAACTTGAAAGATAAATAATTTAAACCAAATCTTCTTTCAAATACATTACTAAAACACATTTTTCTTCAAAATCACTTGTCACTAGTAATTTTTGGGTAAGACACACACAACTCTTCTAATCCTAAGTACCTTAAAAAGTAAGATTAGAATTACCTAGGAATAATATGTTTAAGTGAAATGCAAGAGAATATATACAGGCATTAAAAACTAAAATATTAATCACAACATATTTTTAACACAAAAGAATTTTGCTTATGTTACAAGTAGACATTTTGCTGAAGTCCTATAAATCCACTGAACTTAAGCACATTATACACAAATATCTAAGGCAATTCAGAGATTTCAAATCCAGGAAATAATTTGACAAGACGAAGTACTTGACAATAGTAGCGTGCAAGATGAGTTTGCCTCTGTCCTCTTCTTCCAGGATTTTTTTGAAATGAAATCAGTTTCTAGGAATAAGAACCCAGGAGAAAAGAGGGGGGATGAAGTCTGACCCTAGAACTGCCACTTTCTATCAGTTCAGAGCGTCTGATATGTAGGCTTTTACTCCAATACGCAAGAGTATTTGTCTTCGGTAGCACCTTTATGTAACTAGTTTTTCCCAAGGTAAAATAGCTATCAAACTGGATTCACCACAAAAACATCTTAATTACTTCATAACAATTAATCCCTTCATTCAGCATTTAATTGCAACAACTTTAAATATTGCAGTGTTTATAGAACAAAGCAAGAGAAACATGGATCTGTTAGAGCACATCCAGAGGAGTGCCTCAGAAATGATCCAAGAGAAGGAACACCTCCCCTGCGAGGACAGGCTGAGAGCGCTCGGCTGTTCAGCCTGGAGAAGTGAAGGGCTCAAGAAGAGACACTCAAGGTCAGGCTGGATAGGGCTCTGAGCAACGTGACTGAGCTGTGGGTGTCCCGGTTCATTGCAAGGGAGTTAGACTAGATGACCTTCAAGGGTCTGGTTCCAGGTCAAATAATTCTACTATTCTATGATTCTAAGATTGAGTTCAAATTTCTGAGTGGCAGAAAAGTAACTAGATAGTCCAACAAGTTGCATTTATGCCAATGTAACATCACAAATTACTTCTGGAGATACTAAAATGATGCATAGAATCCTTTGCTTTGTAACACATTATATTTCCACCTAGGACAGTGCTATTGGTGTTCAAGCTTTCACTTGCTAATGGTCTCTTTTACTTAGTTCAAATCATTAATATGGTTGCCTACCTCTCAACAGTGAGGCATAGTGCCATGATGCTCAAGCTACCACTATCTCATCTGCTGCCGACAGCAGAAAGGTTAATGTTTTAGCTGCAGCTGCTTATAGTGTTCTCAGATAAATTACTGTAGGGTATTTCCCTGCATCATGAGAGCACTTCGGTTTGGGTCACAATGAGTCAGCAAGAGGTCAAGTGTCTTTATGCTGCACAAACCAGACATGTCTGTAATTCGTCTTTCTGAAAGAAACAAATCAGTGATCTGCTGCACTTCTATGTGGGACCTCATACTTGGAGCTTCAATTGTACCAAGGCATCTTCCTAAATTTTAAATTCTTTCTCAAGTACAAGTTTAAAGGAAGAACTGTAAGATTTATGCTCTCACTCAACACTTGAAAATCTGTCCTTTCTTGTCACAGCTTGTGAAACACAATTACAACAAATATCTGCTATTTCTGATACAAACAGTAAAAACAAGATGAGAGCAGTCTTCCCTCCTTTCTTCAGCAGGCTAGCTGACATGAAGAAGTACAAAGTAGAAAGATACAAAGCTTATATTCTGCTGCTGTTAGTACTTCAGGGCAGCGCACTACACTGAAATGACTTCCTGAGCTCAGAACCTCTGGCTGCCAGAACAGATACTTATTTTCACCTCCCTGGCCACTCTGCAACATGTGACAAATAACATAGATGTACTGCCAGCTTGCCTAAGAAAGCAAGGTGACAAATGCACAAGTTTGAACTGTTTCTGGAGAGCAGTGAACCACCAGCTGAAGGACATTTCTTCAGTACTAAACAACACCAGAGCCAATACAATTATTTGCTTTTCAACCACAAAGTGAATTGGGCAGATGACATGCTGCATCTTACAGTAAATCCCATAATGCATTTGGCAACAGATCTGTTATCAACTGAAACTTTTTACCCAGAAGCTAATCTCATCTAAACCTGAGGTTAAATCCAGGAGTGAGAGAGGGTGTTGGACAGATTAAAATAATGCTTTTAAGAATCTGCATGAACATCAACACAAGCATACACCAATAATACACTGCAGAGATCCCCAAACCAGTGCAAGGTCTCTTGGTTCACAATGCACATGTGCAGGTACTACCTCAGGCTCTAAAAACTGTTACCTCGAGCCTAGAGTGACAGTCACCAGCTGGGCTTACCAGGCACAAGGAAAAATAAAAAACCCTATCAGAATAGGACACTGCACTATAAATACCTCTGTCTGTCAGAATATATGTAAAGCCTAGTCGTGTGGCTCCACATACTGCTGAAATTCACTCAGGTGTCATCTGTACCTGTCCTTCTACCATCATAGGCACTGCCTCTCATTTGATTTACCTGAAGAGAGACTATTTAAAACTAGAAAGGGTCACACTCTGGGATGCAAGTTTGATAACCTGATCTGAATACAAATTGTATCACTATCTGCCTATGAAAATGATGTCAGTATCTGCATTAAGGAGCTATACTTAGAATCCTCTAGTGATTTTGTCATTTTCTTGTGAAACTCTGGGGCATACATCCACATGTTTCAATTCTACAGTTATACAACTGAGATATTACTTCCTTTTGTTACAAGATACCATGACAATAAATCTCCAAATGCATACAGTAGTCTCGGAAATATTCTAGGCATTAATTACAAGTTAATTTAAAAGACAGTTACTGTTCTGTACAAAAATCCTGCTGCAATTCAATGAATTCACATCAAGCATGCATTTTTTCTAGTTTAACTTCATAAACTGACCGCACCAAATGACAGAATGGTAACCTTACTTGATACTAAGACCATCAACATGCAACGTTAATATGCAGCATCCATCATCAATAGGTATTATCCACATAGAAAATCCCCCCATTATTCAGAACGATCAGATCCTAAAAAGATGAGGAATCCAGGAGAAGATCAACAGTAAATTAGTAATCAAATGCATATACTTATCAGACAGTTCTCTGCTGGCAACTAGCTCCATAATGACAACAAAATGAACTGAGCGTAGTATTTCTGAAGTCCTATACCAAACCATATCATGAACAGGACCTCCACTTGACTAAGAAATATTATAGAAAGGAAAACCCTAACAACAGCGGTTTCAGAATTATCTTTGGATATCATATAAGAATGTTACAAAAAGAAAAATGTTGAAAACATGTCTGTTCTGTAATCCTCTTTTCGATTTTGGAGGCATTTTTACTTTATTAAACCAATAGTGCTAGTTATTATGACAGAATGAATTGCAAATAAAGACCTTTGAGAACACGGAAATTTTTTGATGATATATAAAGCATAGAATATTATACAATACTTTGCAATACTCCCTGCACTTAAAGGTCAAGGATCAAATCTTAAATCTTTATTACCTTTAAGCATTGTTCTTCCAGCTGATCCTCCGAAGATATTTAGAAGACCACTTCTTGCTCCTAATGATGTAGTTGCTTCTAGTAAAGCACCAGTTATGTAGTTAGAGAGCGCAGTCCTCTGTAAAGTGGCACGATACTGAGAGCAAGCACCTGTTGCACATGGTTTTACACATAAACCATCACCTTTGCATATACAGGCTGTATGTAAGGCTGGAAGTTTTCTCAAAAGATGAGGAAAATATCCAAAGATGTCTTCTGCTCCTTCTTCCCTCACGGTATTGAGGATCTGTGAGAAATGAAAAAGGATGAGGTTAGTCCACTTGCTTAAGATAATAAACTGAATATCAAAAAAAAATCCAAATAAGCATGAGTTGATGTAAAGATCAACAGCCTCTACTAGAGGGTGCTATGTTCATTGCTACATTTATGCATTAAACCTAAAGTACCTAAGAATCTCAAACTGACTTACAGAGATTTTGAATTGGTTTTCTACACAGGCTATTTAAATAAGATAGCATTGTGGCTTTAAATCTACAGTTAACAGCATTCTACTGAAAACTGTTTTTAAGGATCATGAATAGACAAAAAGAGCAGTACATCTGGTCAATATTTAAAATAAAGAGTATACACAAAAGTATTTATAAGGCTATTAAATAACCTGTATTTTCAGTAAAGCCTTACAGATATCAGTAGCAGAAAAACAGATCCACTCAGGGGTTGCACTTTTTCTTGCCGAGTAGGGCGGGTTTTTGTAAACAGAAATGGTTTTAATCACTGTGAGCAATCATTCAAAATGTTCTGGTGTCATGTTCATTGCATTACTTCCAGCCTACGCACAGGTCCTCTATCTAATATTGGTTTAGTACTCTTTTCCCAATATTTGTGCTAACACACTAATGAACTTCGTCTGTGGCTTAGCAACTAAGTAATGTTTGCTTATTTAAGAGTCTAATGATCAAAGCAAGAATCTGGAAGAAATCTTTTCATTTAGTATACAAGAAGAGACTTGATTCTTTGCATTCTTTTATGTTGACTTATTAATGTTAATAAATTTGTTTCACCTTCTGTGATTTGTAATTGCATGGTGAAAACTACTAAACTAAAAAATTAACATAGGAAAGAGTCATTATATTTCTTACTTTGACAGATGCCAAGATAATTTTGAGGGTTTTTTCCCCAGACACTCAGCATATATGCATATGACCGACATCCTACATTATGTCAGTGTTATTAAATAAGTTGGTTTTGTCTAAGATAATTACTTTCACAACCAATTTGTTATTGCCATAGGAAATCAAAATATATGCTTTTCATGTCTTTACTCCTTAGATGTGCAAAGGAAGCAAGCTGATGGTACAATGACTGCTTTTTGTGGTTCACGGACTCTTTTTGCTACTCTTCCCCTCATATAAAGAAAATCCCGATAACCACTGACATGGCAGGAAGCACATTCAGTTCTACACTGCAAGCATACACATGCTTGGTTAAATGCTGAGACACTGTTTGCACAGCCTGGCCATGCTGTATGTCAGCAGCACCCATGATCCGAGGGAGACAGACCCAAGCCCAGCCCAGAAAAAAAAGGGAGGTGAGCAGTCCCCAGCACGCAGATCTGTATGAATGCATTTCCATCATATATTTGTGTGTCCCTGCCTTTAGGTGGGGGGTCAACTGCCCACCTTCCAAAGGACCCTCTACAAAACACTATTAAAATCAAAAATTGGGAAGTTTTTGGTTTTTTTATGCCATAAACAAGAAATCAAATACAATGTCATAAAGCACTCATCTCATCTTGGCTTTAATTTTTTATATTAGCAACTTCTTGGGGACAATGGTAATTTTGTTCAAAATGTAGTAATTTATTAACTACTGATGTAAATCAATGATTTCAAAAAGAGAACTGATATTTATTAACAAAAATTAAAAAATATACATTTTGCATGGTGCCTATGACTTATATAACTCATTTCCACTGGAAATATAGCATGTTTTGGGAACTTTTTGACTCTCAGAAAGGACGTCACAATTCTCCACTTTTATTCAGAATAAAACCGACTCTTATTGCCCCAGTAAATAGTGAGTGCCTGCAGGGAGCTGTGGCATGGCCATCTGTTATGGCCATCGACACCACCTGACACAGCTTTCTACAGGATGCGATGCTGGACTTGCCTTATACACAGATCATGAGCATGTCACACATTGTAGAGGAAATCAGTCTTTTTAGCTTGTCTAAAAAAAAATATTTAGTTAATGAAAATAATTTAACTTTTCAAAACTACAGTTACCTTCCAAAATATTTTTAAAATTGGGTTCTGCAACTTATAAAGGCATGTTTTGTTGCCTACACAACTGAAATTTCTTTCAGCTGCCAAAGCAAAGAAACCATTTGTTGACAGAAATAGGCGACAGTGTTTTGCTGGAGAGATTACACATAGAATAATGGTGTTAATCTCTATTGTATAAAAGTAGACTTCAGGGCACTAGCTGTCTCCAAAGACTGCGCTTCATGTAACATTTTCAAATAGTGTCTGTTTCGACGGGTCAAAGCTCTGCATGCAGAACTTCTGCTACAAACAGACAAGATTACAAAACTTATCTGCCATCAAATGAACAAAAACCATCAGAATAGGAACATATTCGGTGGCATTTGGAAAAAGCCCTCACTAATATGCTGCAACTTTTGGTTAGCCCAGAAGTGGTCAGGCAGTTGGACTGGATGATCCCTGCAGGTCCCTTCTGATAGAACTATTCTACTCTATTTATCCTCAGGTAGCTGATAGAGAAAATCATCTTTCAGTGAGATTGCACCAGACAATGGGGAAGCCTAATTTTGCCCAGGAGACAAAGGTGATTTTAAACCAGGGCTTAGGGCTCACCCTGCCAGATACAGTTAAATTGACCTGTACCACTTATTTTCTCTACTGAAGAATGATTACCTTAATTAACAATGAACACAAATCAAAAAGAGGAAAATGCAGCATTAAGCTGACAGCCACTCCTCAAAAACAACCTCCTGCAATGGGTGCATCGCTCCTGGTCCACTTGTGCCTTCTGTATCGAATTAAAGATTTCAAAACCATCTGCAGTCTGAGGCTACCATACCTCACATACTTTATGTCAAGCTGTAATTCACAAGCAACTGAAGATAGAGTCTAGTATTAAACTGTATTATTGAACATACTTTAAGTTTCTTTTATTTAAGAAACATACTTTTAGATAGGGCAGAGTAGAGAACTGACTTAATTACAGGAAAGAGTTTAAAGATGAACTTTCTTCTCTGTACCTCTTTAATGACCACATATGTAAATGACAGCATTAATATGTAACCATAGCATCTCAAGATTTACTTCAAAAAATAAAAGCAATACATGCTAACACTTTTTCTTTTCTCATGATACTACACAGTACTTTTTAAATGGATGTGCTACAACAGATAATACTACTATAGCAGTATTCCAATGAAAGTATATTGTGGCTTTGATAAATGTTTACTTTCTTCTGTCTGTAAAGCTTATAAAGAGATTTCAGTGATAAGTAAAAAGCACACAAAAATTACTTGCCACATGAAATTTTCCACAAGAATACAGAAGAAAAACAAGCCATCCAACTCAAAAAGGAAAACTAGCTTCAAAATAAGAATTAAATTCAGGCAGAGCTCCATCTCTTTGGCTTACAAACAAGTCCATATTTGGAAAATAAATGGAAACATAGGATCTGAACTTTCAGATGTTAATAATGTAGCTGATAAATCATCAGAACTTTACTTTAAGAAAACTCAGTTTTGCTTCTAGTAATTTGAAATGGTATCTGCAAGTTAACTTACTGATAACCGTCAGGCAAAAACATTTCTTTACAGTGAGAGCAGACATATTCTGTTAAGATATTTTTCAAAAATAACTATAAGAACAAGGAACTTAATGCTGGCCTTGACATTTTTTACTTTTATATACTTTTCTTCTGAATAATCATCACTGCAATTGCAAATTGTTACCTCCTTTTCTCCACATATTGCTGTAGGTTTACTACATAAATGTAGCAGAAACCGAAATACTACAAACATTCTTATCCTTACAGTTTAATACAGATACTCCCCCATGCATTCTGCTGTACTGAAAATATTGAATGTAGAAGCTCACAAAAATAATTGCTGTGATTTCTTACTTAAAGTTATATGTATCTTTTCCTGTTAATTTTAATGTTTTTACAGTTTTTCTTTTTGCATTTGTTTCTGCCTCAGGTTCTTAGCCTAGAACCTCAGGTGCATGTAATTAGTTTGACAAACATCTAGCAGCTGCTCGTATCAACTCCAGAAACTGGAATTAACATTTCCATGTATTAGAAAACAGACTCAATTTATCTAACTTTATCATTGCAATAAAGAATATGTTTGTCCAAAAAGCTCAGCATAAAGAACAGCCATGGAACATTACGCTTTTTGCTATGATGCTACAAAAAAATAATAGAAAATAGTCCTCCAAGGAGGGGCTTAACAGCTCATTGCATTGTTTCTGCTATGTACCCGTGCAAAGTGTTTCTAAAAAACATTCACCAATATATCTGGAATGACCAAAATGAAGCACTGAAATGGAAGAGGTATGTCTATGCTTGGATAGAACTATGCTCCCAAGACCTGACTTCCTGGCTGTGTACTGAAGACTTACACTTAAAGTACTTTACCTACAGAATGGATGGAAGGGCTGCCTACAGCCTTTGTGCAGCATTCCTGCAACGCGATTCCTTCTTTTACTATATGCTTGTAAAGACATTTTAAACACCTGCAAACCAGAATGGTACACTACCATTCTCAGGACAGCACAGCTGAAAGATCATTTAAACGTCTCCTCCGAAAATATGAAAGTCTTACAGAGCAGGAGAGCCTAAACAGAATTAGTAACATAGGAATAGCTGCTCTTTTAAAATTCCTTCTGTTCCTAGAGAAAAAAAAAAAAAAAAAAATCATCAAAATGAATGAATTCTGACAGGGATTTTTCATTTTGGAGTGGCAGGGTTTTCAGAAGAAAACTATTCCACGTCCAAGGACAATCCTATAAGCTTTTCTATGTATTTATTCTGTAAGAGTAGGACTTTATAGCAGATAGCAATCTGTGTGAAAAAAACCAGTTCAGTCAGAAAGAGAAGAACACAAAGTGGAACTGGGTGGAGGGAAGAGTGGCTGAAAGAAATAAATATGATTACTAGAATGAGAATTTGTTCAGGATATCAAAAAGAAAGAGGCATTAATGCACTTGGTCGATACTTCAGTTTTATGTCTTCCAAAATTGCATG